TCCATCACTTGGCCAATTGTTTCACTTTGCTGGTCCCTTTGATGCAGAGAAGAGCCGAGTCCCAGCTGGCAATTCTTGACTTCTGGGCACCTGGAATATCCCATCAGCACTTGCCTCAGGAACTAGGTTTAAGTTTGTCTAGCCAAGAATTCCATGATCATGCTGATGCCAAAACCTTGGTTGGATTTGGATTTCTGTGGCTAAGGTACCTTTGAGACAAGAATGTAGAGTGGGGCTGTGGTATTGTCCTGCTCTTTTTGCTGCCTGCAGTGGAGGTGGTCAGGAAGGAGCAGAGCAGGGCTCAGTGGGACAGCCAAGCTGAGAAGCTGTCAGCATTTGTCAGATAATCTTTTGAAAAGTAAATCTGTTATGACATGGCTTTTTCAGACCTCTAGATAGAGCCATCTCTTGGAAGTGCCAAGCTTCTGTTTTTCAGAGGCTGTGAGCACTCAGCTCTTAACTGCAGTTTTGTTTAGAGGTTAGGGAGTGTTTTCCCCAAGCTTAGTGAAAAAAAAAAGTCATACATAGCAAAATTTCTTATTTTAGGGTTGGTGTAAATCTTGACATGAAGTGGTTTAACCTAATCAAGCAATGCAATTGTTGCTGCTGAGGCAGGACAGGAATGAAGAGACTGACTCAGAAGGCTGCTAAGAGTAAAACTCCAGTTTATTCAAAATACACCACTCTTTTATACAGAGCTTCACGAGGACCAACTCCATTGGTCCTGAAGTGAAAATAACCTACTCCATTGGTGCAGAGTGCCTGACGCACAGTGATAGAACTGAACTATAAGCAATGTGAAAAACAAGAGAGGTAAAGAATTATTTACATTCTCTCCAGCTCTTTCTCAGGCGTCTGCCTGGCTAGAAACTCTCAGTTTCTTTCTTTGACTGAATCTGAGTCCCACATGCAATGTTTTAATAAAACTGCCAAGAAAGACGTAAGGGCTGTGGTTGTTCTCATTATTGCACAGAATAAATCTTTCAAGCTCTGCACAGAAATGGGCAGAAGACAAGCTGACTCTCTTATTTCTAGATTCAGCAACATATCAAGACTTTTAAGAGTGGCTGCTGCTCGCAGTGTGAGAAAAGGTGGTCCTTCCAGCCTTCTCCAGCAAGGTGACATTGTCCTGTCCCTAAGGGGACTGTGGGAGCTCTAAAGTATTTGAGTGGGCGTCTGTGACTGGAGGCTTAACTTGGTCCTTGATGGATAATGCATCCTTGTTGGGGCATTCCCTTGACACTTAACCCATTCTGCTGTTGCCCCAGAGGGCTCCCCATCCCTTGAAGTGTTTGAGATTGGACAGGGCTTGGAGCAAGCTGGTCTAGTGGAAGGTGTCCTGCCCATGGCAGGGGGTGCAAGATGAGCTTTAAGAGCCTTTTCAACCCAACCCAGTCTGGGATTCTATGATTTCCTGTAATACAACTCCCCTTGCTTTCCTTCTTGCCAGGGTTTCCTGCAGAACCTTTATATAAAGCCAAGCCTCTGGCTGGGGCTGCTCCAAAGTCATTCATCATCCTCTGCCTGGAAAGGGATGTGTTTTTATACCATCACATCTTCAATGGCTTTGAGCTGTGCTTGTGGGCTCTTGACAGGTGAACTGAGGGTTGTGAAGAGATGAGAAGCACGAGCACTTCTCTGCAGGTTCCTCTGCTCTACCTGATGGCCACAGAATCACAGAATTCTGAAGGCTGGAAAAGACCTTTCAGGTTATCAAATCCAGCCATCAACCCAGTACCATGTTCACCACTAACCCGTGTCCTCAAGTACTACATCCACATGGTTTTTGGGCACTTCCAGGGATGGTGACTCCATCCCTGTCCTGGACAGCCTATTCCAATATTTTACAAACCTCAGTGTTATCTTCTGGGTACAATTAATAATTTGGATTCATGGTATTTATGTAAGAGTTGTGAAGAGGAGTTGTCTTTGTTGGCAGTTTAGTGTTGTCAGGCCTTTGGCTGAGTCACACACTAGGAAAGGAGGCATCTGGCAGCAGCAAACCCCACTTTTGTTCTGTTCCTCACAATTAAGCTTTTGTTTACCTTGTGGTTTTCTGAGGTATTATTAGTCCAATTTTTGTTCTTAAACCTTTCCTAGGGGAACAGCAGGTTTAAAGTGTGATTTAAAACCAAATTGGTTTTATTTTTTCTTTCAACTGTGAGTCAGTCAACTGCATTTTATGACTGAGTACAAAAGCCTTAATTTCAACTCTGAGTAAAAGTGGATTTTTCTGTGCTGTCTCTGTTCAGCTTTAATAAAGGAGTTCAGTGAGCTCTCCTGACTCAAGGTGTGCAGTGACTTGTGTCAGAATGCAGCTGTGGTCAAAGCTATCGGTCAGGGCATCTAAGGTAAGATTCATGAAATAAAACTAGTGCCCCTGGAAGTATCAGATCCCATGCATTAAGGAAGCTGCATTTAAGTCAGGTGCTGAGCTTACTTGCTGTGGCATCTGGCATAGATCCATCATTGCTCAGCTGAAGAGCTGAGCCAGCCACAGGCAGCTTTTGGAAACAAATAGGGATTAAAAAGGATTTGTCCTGCAGATTCATAAAATCTTCACTCTTCAAACAAGGGTGTGGAAGTGGCCAGCATCTTTTCTGGACATTTAATCATGTTTTTTATGCATTGAGCCAGAGTGCAACATCATCTCTGTTGCCCACACACATGTTCAAAGCTGATCCAGATGCTGCTCAAGGCAAGCTGACTTATCCATTTCTTTGGGGAGGGATGTATCTGAGCTCTGAGAAACGCACATCCAAAGCTGCAGAAAATCATCATTCCTCTCCAGTGAGGAGAAGATAAACTCCATGTTATTGTCATTTCCATAAGTCCCAGAAAGGGCTTGGGTGAGGGTTTGGGTGAAGCTTGCCAGCTGTTCCCTGGGCAGGGAATGAAGGAGGCTGCAGCACTGTTTCCTGCATTAATTTGATTCCAGTCCTGGTCCTACCTCAGAGCCATGGTTGTAACTGGTGGGGCAGTGTCATTTATATGGGTTTTAGCTAATCTCTCAGGTATGCTCACTTGGAACTCATGGTGTTTGGGCTGGAAGAGATCACCCAGTCCAAACCTGCTGCTGCACTGGGGTCACTGAGAGCAGCCTGGCCAGGATGGTCAGTTGGGATCTGAATATCCCCACAGCTGAAGATTCCACAACCTCTTGGCTATTCCAGTGTGTGACCAGTCTCATGGTCAAAAACGGTTTTCTTTTGCTCAGATGGAATTTCATGTGTGTGTTTGTGCCTCGTTCCCTCCCATCAGGTACCTGGGCACATTGATATGATCATCCCTGAGCCTTTTCTCCAAGCTGAGCAGCCCCTTCTCTTTCAAACTGTCCTCACATGAAAGATCCTCCTTTCCCTTCATCTTCTTTTGGTCCTCTGCTGGATTTTCTCCTGTAAATCCATATCTTGTACAGAGGAGCCCACATTTAACAGCACTCCTCCAGGTGTAGCTTCCTTAGTATTGGGAGGAGAGGCAGGATCACCTCCCTCCCCATCCTTCAGTCCCTTCAGTAAAGGAATTAAATTGTGCCTTTAATTTACAACCATGGTAATAATTAGGAATAACAAAAAAAAAAACCCAAAAACAAAAAAACCCAAACCCATTTGTGTAAAAAGTATTTCCAATGCAGCTGGGATATAATTTAAGACTATTTTCATGCACAAACTTCTCGTATCAGAAAAGTATGGGGAAAGAGGAAACTACTGAATGTAGATTTTTTGAGTGGTGTGCATTGCAGTTGATGGGTTGTAGCAGGGGGCAAAATGCATTTGTTTTATGAGGAAATGACTAGGGAAATGGCAGCAGGGGAAGATGAGTGCTAAGGAATAAATGGCCACGAGGAATTGCAAATTCAGACATTGGAGATGGTGAGAATTTCTTCTGGCTAAATGAATGGGTGGAAAGTACTATTGTCCACAAGTGTAAACTTAAATATTGCTATTTTTAGACTTGTTATTCCTGTTTGGTTTTTTTTGTGGTTTCTTTGTGGTTTTTTTTGTTTTTTTTTTTTTTTTTTTCTCAGTTGGTTATTTTGGCTCTAGTGACCTGGAGGTGTGATTCTGTAGAAGCCTCAGATATGGCAGTCAAACCTCCTTTGCAGAGCGGAATCTGGTCTTTGGTGTGATTTTTTTGTGCCACTCATCCTATCCCTTAACAACTTTCCTACCAGCACCTTTCAGGCTTTGCTCTGGGCAAGCTTGACACATGTAAACAGACTACCAAGATCAGTGGAACGTTTCTTTTTTTATGCAGAGGATGGCAGTTTTGTTTGTCAAGGCTCTTGGTTTCTGCTTCCTTTGCCAGGTCTCCACTGCATTGATGTAAATTTGCTTTCCTCAAGGCCTTCATTTCTATTTAGCTGCTCTCATGGAAGCAACAGGATTCTTCCCAGTGAGGATGGTGAGGCCCTGGCACAGGTTGCCCAGAGAAACTGTGGCTGCCCCTGGATCCCTGGAAGTTTCCCAGGTTTGACAGGGCTTGGAGCAGCCTGGAACAGTGGAAGATGTTCCTGCCCATGAAGTGAGATGAGCTCTCTAAGGTCCCTTCCATCCCAAGCCATTCTGTGAGTCCAAATATTTATTCCAGCAAGTGTTTACAGGCTATTACATCTAAGTTGTGTATTCACAGATTCCGAATGTGTTTCAGCCCGAGAGCTTTAACAGTTCCCCATCTCAAACCTGCTTTTTGAAAGCAGTGCTATATTTAGCTGTTTTTTATTACCGGCAACTTCAGCAGTTGAAATTGGACCTTGGGGCTTCAAAGCAGCTGCTTGGTTAAGGAAGCGTTGCTGAATAAAAGCTCCCAGCTCCGCTCCCCTCCCCCTGCTTTACCGCACTCCCAGCTGTGGGAGCCCAGCAGCAAGGAAGGGAAGCTGGCCTTGAAGTGAATCTAAAGAGGAAAGAGAGTGGGAGGAGGAGAGGTGGAGCCAGCCGGGGAAATGCAATAGCAGCCCGCAGCGTGGGAAGATGAGAGAGCAGCAGCAAAGGCGCTGCTGGCTCAGCCTGTGTGCGGGTGAGCCCCGCGGGGCAGGGGCTGAGTGGAGGGGTGGACCAGGGAGTTTAAAGAGTGACACGCTCCGTGGAAAGGCAGGCATTACCCTCCTGCTTCTTTCTGGAGTAGCAATCGGTGGGAAAAGGTAAGGGGTGCAAGGAGGAAGTGAGCGAAATCAGTGCCGAATTCTGCTTAAAATACCAGCCTTTAATAAAGAAGGGGTTGTGATAGCTGAAGGCTAATTGGAAGTCTTTGGTGTAATGCAGGAAGCAAAGAATTCTAAACAGAGTTGTGAGAATCCTGTAAGCATGATACTCTTATTTCATTGTATTCTTATTTTGGTTGTGTAACTGCTCTAAGCTGTCCCTGGCAATACATGTTTTAATCCTTAGTGCAGCTCAAGTGTTACTGTATTTCATGGCATGAAAGTGACTGTCAAATACAATTTTTTTTTTATTTACCTTTTTTTTTTCCCTAAGGGATCAGCAGGAGACAATAGGATGGTGTTTACTTTCTATAGCACTCCTGCCTTCAGTAGAGAATAGGGTGGCTTTTAGCCAAGTCTAACACATTCAAGTTGAACTCCACATATTTTAGGCAGCTTTTGGTAAATAAATCAGTTTTAAAATGTACTGAGTAAAAGAATTGGGTTTAGTTCCCTTTGATCTGCTAAAAATTACTTGACTGCAACTTTGAAGGCTTGAAGTGAGTTGCAAGTATGTACAAAAGGAAACCAAATTGGGGTAAAACTTTTTAATATCTTTTAGAGTAGTGCCATACCTACTCTGCAGTCCCATTTTGCCAGACCACTACAGGTGCAATTAGTCCCTGCAGTAGCTAATGGCCCTCACCTTTCAGTGAGAGAGTATTTCTGCTCCCTTTGAACCAGTAGAAGGTGGGGCACAGAAGTGGCTGGCTCAGCTTTTCCATGCTGCTTGAAGTAGACCCTCAGTGTGGGGCCCTGTACCTCAGCCAGCATCTTACCTCTCTTTTATCTGAGATTTATGAGGCTGGCAATAGAGTTGGGGTTGAGTGGTTGTGCAAAGAGGGTGGCTGCTGGGACAGGGCTGGTTTTTTTGCTGTGCTGTAGTGCAGCCCCTCCAGCGCAGCTGTATCTTCCCTTGGTTACCAAGCCCACAGCTATTTAGGTAGTCCTGGGTAACAGCAGTGCTTTGCTTACCCTTTCTTTCCTTTGGCAATGGTAACAGACCAGTGACTCACTAGAAAAGACGCAAAACTTTCTTCCAAAGATTTTCAGAATTTAATGTGACTCTGAGCTTCATTCTGCCAGCCAAGTACTGCTAAAATGCTAAATCTTTCTTACAGGCTCACTTTGGGTACTAGAAGGCCACAATTGGGTTACCCAAAGCCTTTTGTTTTCTAGGCTGAACTATCCCAATTCTCCCAGCCTTTCCCCATAGCAGAGGTGCTCCAGACCTCTGATCACCTTTGTGGCTTCCTGACTCACTCCAGCAATTCCACATCTTCTGCTGTTGCTCCCCAGGGCTGGGGCAGCTCTGCAGGTGGGGTCTCACCTGATCACAGCGGCAGAGGGGCAGAATCCCCCCTCCTCTGCCCCACACACTGGGGGATCAGACCAGGGCATGGGGGTCCAGGGCTGGGGCAGGTCCAGCTCTCACCCACCAGCACCCCCAGGTACTTCTCCCAGGGCTGCTCCATCCCAGCCTGGATTAATTCTAGGCATGGCTAGACCCGAGTGCAGCACCAGCACTTGGTCTTGTTAAACCTCGTGGGATTCCTATGGACCAGTGCTCGAGCTTGCCCAGGTCCCTCTGGATGACCCCATCCTTCAGGAGTGTCCCTGCCTCTCATCTTGGTGAGCTCTGCAAGCTCCAAGGGAGCTGATGCTGCTGCATGGTTTATCTGCAGGTTTACATTTTCCCCTTTTGGATCACCAGCTTTGTTTTCAGAGGAGCCTGCTGTTTATCCTGATTTCTCTATAGGCTCAATGAGCCCACACACTCCACTCTCTTCTTGCCTGTGAGTAGCAGATCTACTCTGTGAGTAGAGTAATGCTGCTGTAGGAGCAGCTTTCACCATGCTGCAGCTCAAGGCTTCATTTCCATATGGCTGGCTTAAAAGAGAACAGCTTTCCTTGGGCTTTCTCTAGTGGCAGAATGCCAGGCTCCCCCACCTTCCTGCTGGGGCTGTGCTGGCTTGCTGAATTATAGGATAAATCCACTTTTTTCCCCCTCCTTCCTAGTCCTCTGTTGAGGGCTTCATGCAAGCCCTTCTCTCTGAAAGACGTATTAGAAGCCTTGAAATGCATGAGAGTATCAAAGTGTGGTGTGAGAGAATAATCTACATAATCAGATTTTGGAGTTTATTTGGGCTTTTTGTACAGAAAAGGCCATGTATGGCATGTTCGGTGCTGAAATCTGGACTGTGACCTCCTCTTTTCATCCCTTTTTCTGTTTATTTAATCTGCAAAAAATGTCTCCTTTTGGCCTAACTGGCATGGAAAAAAAGTCTTGGAGGCCAGAGCAGAATTTGAAGTGACTCTTCAAGTCACAAAGGCCCAAAACAAATGAGGTAGATTTTTTTAAAGACAAAGTATCTATGCAAGCAAAGGGGGACCAGATGAGAAATAGGGAATAATTCAGCTTCTCTGGTCTGATGAGGTTTCAGGAGGCAATGGACCAGGTGAGTCTGGATTTGGATGTTATCCATTATCAGGCTTGGCTGATTTTAAAGAAGGATTTTTATGGATGGGGCTGTGTTGTAGGTGGACTCAGGCTGTGGGTACACACCTCCAAAACATTTTCTCTTTGCAGTGGTCCTGGTACTGCTGGACTGGACAGCGAGGTGCTGCCTTTCCTGCAGGGATCAATAGCAATGAGCTAAATTTTGTGCTGGATGATTTCAAATTTGATGCAACCCAGTGATTTGCAGCTCAGAGTGGACTCACACTGACTTGCCCTTGAGGTCTCAGAGGAGATGCTGAAAAGGTAAAAAGGTGTTCCTGAGCAAGACGGGGTTGGCAGCCTTTGAGATTATTTTTTTTTTAACAAATAACAGCATGAATGGGCACAAAATTCAGGATGCCATAATGTTTTGTGCCGTCTGTGACCTATTAGACTACGATCATGATGAGAACAACTAATGTTTAGTAACTCACTGCTTCAGACAACCTGGGAAGGATAAATCCAGAGTCATCCATCTGCGCTTTGCTGGAGCTGCTCTTGGGGAGGATCCTGCTCCTTTGAGGGAGCAAGGAATGAATATACAATGATTTCTCTAGCTGAACTTGTTTGTGAAATGCTGGCTTTTCCCAGGAAAGCACATACAAAAATAGCAGCCAGCCCTCTCTAGCCATGGAGCATATGTCTGTAGGCTCAGCTTTGAAATTCGCCAGTTGCTGCAGCTTCTCCAAAGAGGTTGAAATGCTTCTGTAATGGAAATGACCCGAACACTCCGGTTCGTTATTGCATTCCCCCACCTCTAGGCTTCTTAGTGGAGTCTGAGGCATTTAAATGAGTTGTATCAAATTGAATCCTTGAATTCTTCAGTGCCTCTGATGCCAGGGTGGGAGATCTCAGCTGTACCTCCTGAGCTGGTTTTGTGTCCCCACCGAGCAGATCCTCACAGCCTGAGCTGTGTGCAAACCCCTCTGGGAGTACTGCACATTCTTTCCCAGCCTTGCCCTCTCATCTGGCTTATTCCTCAAGCCCTTTTTTTTTTGGCAGGGCTTTAGCAAAATGCACAGAAATGCATAAGCTACTTTTCACCTCTGCAAGGTCTTCCTTCAGCTAAAAAACTGCATTTATTGTTCAACTCTCCCAAGCTGAATGTTTTCTTCAGTAATACAGAATGACTCCTGCTTTTGGCTGAAGTCTGTGTTAGGCCATTATAGAAATTAGGCAGCTGCCCAAAAGTCTGCCAAGGGGCAAAACCTACTTGCCATTAAAGCTTTTAACAAATGAGATTGGTAGGTAAGTCCATGACCACCTGGGCTCTTGTGCAGCAGGATTCCTGTGGACATCAAAACCCTGAACAAGTCTGATGTTTTAGATGTGACCTAATTGAAAATACAGCCAGTAATGAAATTATCATCAGGAAACAGCTCACCTTCTGTTGCTTAATTATATTTTCTTTGTATGTTTAGTCTGCCTTGGATAGCACACAGGTTTTCCCTTAATTACTCCTGTATGGTAATTGTCATGTAATTATGCTGTTATGAATATAATGTGCATGTATTATTGAGGGGCAGTGATTTATGGCATGTAAGCATATTATTAAAGTGTTATAGATGTTCTCCACGCAGTCCTTTAATGACAGGAGTCTCTCATAGCCGTGCAGAATTTTAATTTCTCAGTGTTTAAGGTCTCCTGTAATAATGCTGCTTCAATAGTCAATACTATGGGAATTACACTACTTGCTTGTGGTGAGGTATTTAATGGTCCTCATCATGCTTGCAAAATTTGCTAGTGCAGAAATAAATTGGGCATCGTGAGAGGACAAGGGAAAATGGCTTTAATCTGAAAGAGTTGATTTAGATGTGATATTGGAGAAAATTCTTCCCTGTGAGGGTGGGCAGCCCCTGGCACAGGGTGCCCAGAGCAGCTGGGGCTGCCCCTGGATCCCTGGCAGTGCTCAAGGCCAGGTTGGACTCCAAAAATCTCAGTGAGGAGTTGAAGCACTGGAAACCTGAGCACTGAGCTGATGTGAAGTTATTGATGACTGAGTGTGCTGAGCGCTGTAGCATCCAGCAGCAGGTGGAAATCTGGGAGAACAATAATTAGTATATGATTAACCTTCGATCACAATTTAATTGTGCTTGTGGTGGTGGGTTTTTTTTTTGTTTGGTTGGTTTTTGGTGTTGTTTTTTTTTTTTTTTTTTTTTTTTTTTTTTTTTTTTTTTTTTTTTTTTTTTTTTTTTTTTTCCAGGATGTTTCTCCATAACTTAATCTGTGAGTCCCCTACTACAATGTGCTTTGTGACAGAACTTCTGGTTTATCACAGGATTTGCCTTTCTTTTTAAGGCATTTTCAGAAGCTTTGGGCTGTGTTGAAGGGACAACAAAAACTGTAGGCTATGTTTAAGTGCTGGTCTCTGAAACAGCAGTTAAACCCTTGCTTGCCCTGGTGGTAGCAGAGGAAATCAGTCCCAGAAATTCCTGGCTGGTGAAATAAACTGCCAGGAGGAGAAGCAACCACTTGGCAAGACCTTGTACAGCAAGTACTTTATGATGGTTGAATGTAAGTTGAAAGAAAGGCTTTCTGAGAACACTGTAGTTCCTGGAATTAACATTTTCATCCTGGATTTGTGGTGCATATTGTACAAATGAAAGTTGTATCAGGAAAAATACATCTTCCATTTTGTGCCAATGCAAAAATGCTACTCCTGTGTTATATTCCCAAATTTAGCAAAACCAAAGTGACTGGATAGAACTCAACTGCAGCTGCCTCTTTGCAATGGGACCAAGACTGAGGCAATGAAGTATGACAAAACCATGCTGGCAAACGCATTTTTATCCTGAATTAAATTTGTCTGTGGGCTTTGGCTCAGTGCTCTGCACAAAGGGTGAAACTGGCTGTGAAGAGGACAAAGAGCTCATCACGAGCACATGGAATTGCTCTGACACGCTGCACAGTGGCTTTGCAGAGCCTGGGTTTGCTGCAAATGTGAAAGAGCAGGATTGATAAGTTATTAGTCCCAGCTCAGGAGGCAGGCAGATGATGCCATGCAAGTCCCATGCTCAGTGTCCTGGTGGCTGCACAGAGCCATGTTGGGAGGGTAAATTGTGAGAAACGCCTATGACTTGTTCTTTTAAATTTTAAAACTTTATTAGTAATAAAATAGTTATAAAAAGCGTAATCGCATTAGAGTAATAAAAATTTGGACAGTGAGGATTAGGACACTACGAGACAATAAAAAGCAAAGAATTATGGATGTCCAGATGTTTTTGGGCACTGAGCTGCCAAAAACATGCCTTGTTAACAAAGGAATAACCCTTAAAAGCAACAGCCTGTTGCATATTCATATATCTCATACATGATGCATAAATTCCTTGCAAATTAAGAACTTTTCTGGTTTTTGTCAACTTTTTCTCCTTAATTCTGGTGGTTCCATAAAGATGGAGAGAAGGTGGAAGAATGTTTGTCTTTTCTGATAAGGAGGCAGTAACTCTTTAGGTGTCCTGTCCCTGTTGTTATGAACAAAACAGCCTGGCTGGGACACTTGGCTTGAACAAAGTACTGACACTGAAATGTTATTTAGCTAATTGATTCTGGGAATCACCTACCGCCCCACCCTCACTACCATTCTAAGACTTGGATGCAAAATAGGGAGACCAGTGGAATCATAGGAGGGCGTTTTGGGGATGAAAACACCCCTAAATGGAAGGCTGGGCACAGTGGAGGGGGCTGGATGGGTGAGCTGGTTGGGGAAAAGGGAACCCCATCCCTGGTCTGTGTCTGACCTGTCACCATAACCTGCAGAGGACCAGGCTGGACTGGGCTGTGGGAAGCAGGAACAAGGAATCAGACACTCTCCCTGGTGTTAGCAGGAAGGCAGGAGTGGGATAGCTGCTGCTGGATCTTGGCATCAGGCTGTGCACATCCCCCCACCCTTTGGCTACCAGTGTGCCAGGAGGGAAGGAGAGAGGATGGGGGACTGCAGATACAGACTGGACACCTCTTCACCTCCAGCTACCAGCGTGCCACAGACACTCAGGGACAGACTCTGCAGCCTTCTCACCCTTCGGCTACTGGAAAGCTACAACAGCCCCCTGCCGAGCTGACTTTTTAATAAAGAGCTGAACATTAATAAAGGCATAGACCCTGTTCATTTCCATTTGGGGGCTCGTCCGGGAGAGCCACACCTGAAGGGGATCCCTGGACAGCTGGACAGCTCGACCACCGGCTTCGAGGGACCCTCGGGATTTGCTGGCTACCGGACCCTACGATCAGCGTGAGACGAGCCACGCGGACGGGATGAGCCACACGTAGGGCCAGTGAGAGGGACCCGCTAGTACCGCGTTTCCGGCCGGGAATGGGGGGAAGTGAGTGGAATAGAGGAGTGACTGAGGGGTCTCCTTGGAGGTAAAGGCCCTCCTCTGGGCATGTGGAGATTCTCTAGGGATAAAGTAAGTCCCTGGCAATCAGGGTGAGGGGGTTGTCCACAGCAGGGCAGGTGGGGAAGGAGGTCCTGGCAGGTAGGGGACAGGTCTTGGCAAGGTCTTAGCAAGAAGGGTGCATGTCCTGGCAATAAGAGGCCATGTCCTGTCAGGCAGGGGGCAGGTCCTGGCAGGTAGGGCATGTACTAACAGGCAAGGGACAGGTCCTGGCAAGAAGGGGGCGTGTCCTGGACGACAGGGGCATGTCCTGGCAGATAGAGTATAGGTCCTGGCAGGCAGAGTAAGTAAGCAAGTAAAGGAGTGAGAAGAAAGGCAAGCAGGCTAAGCCTAGTAGGAGAGTCAGGCGAGGGGACTTGGCTGGAGTTCGAGTGTAAGGCTCGGCAGGACGTTCGACCTTACCTTGGCAGGGAGACCAAGCTTCCTAAGCCTAGTAAGGAGGTTGGGCAAAAGCCAAGTAAGATTTGGGTCGAGACCTACCTGGGGTCCAGGCCTAGAAAGTCCATCAAGAAGTCCAAAAAAGAACAGGAAAGCAGAAGACAATATATGTGAGTGTGATTAGTGGTTATCCTAGGCAAGAGACAGAGATAAATGCCAGGAGTGGGAGGTTAGCTCGAAGAGATTAAGTTCAGTCAAGAGATTTAAAATACTAAGTTGTGGGAAGGAGCCAAATGAACTATAGTTGCATATCTGTATATTCCATTTTAGATGGGGGTACCATTTAAGGTATATTTTTTTATTTTCTTTTTGAGGCCTGGAATGGGAACAGGTTATAGCAAAGGAGCTGATCCTTCAAAAGCGAAAGCAAAGAGAATTCCCCCTAACAGGCCATTAGAGCAATAGTTAGACCAATGGGATTCTTGGGAGACCACAAAGGGTTTAGACAAGAGTACAGAAGTATGGCCAGAGTTAAAATTTCAGGGAGAGTGGCCATGGTATGGAACCCAAGATGAGTAGATGTATAATCAGCTAAACCAACACCTAGAAACCCTAAGATTATATTTAAAGAAAGAAGAAAAAGCCAAAAGTAAAGCTAGACTTATGGTTGCAGTTGCTCAAGAAAGTATAAGAGCAGGCATATCACCAGCACTGCTGTCTAAGTCACGTTGGAATAGACCAGGACTATTACCAAAAAAAAGAGACCAACCAGCACCATCATATGAGACAAATAAGAACTTCAATGAGTTTAGGAAACCTGAAGTTTCACAAAGCAACAGGAGGTGCTATTACTGTAGGGAGAGGTGTCTTATGTTTCAGTTTGATAAAGCAATGCATAAAGAACAAGAAGTCTTAGAAAAGATTTCAAGGGGGGATGACTAGAGGTCTCAGGGGTTCTATAAGCAAAGAGATCCAATCAACCATCAAGAAGAGCCCTTGGTAAACTTTAAAGTAAGTCCCCACTATAAAGATTTTGAGTTCTTAGTTGATACAGGGGCAGATAAGTCCAGCACAAGTTACCAGTAATAGTCACCATTGGGAAGAAGGTCTGAGAAGTTTTAGAGGTGAAGGGAAGGCCACTTAAAGCATCTATAGGCAAAAATATAAAAATCAAGAAGAATTCTAGACAATTTTTGGCAGACTTTATCTATCTGCCAAATTTTAAAAGTAATCTCTTAAGAAGAGACTTGCAAGTCTAATAAAGGGTAAGGATCATCCCACAAGATAAAAAGATAGGAGTTCAAGTTGTGAATTGACCTACTGGGGAATCCAAGGTTTGTACAACCACTTTTTATGGGAGAATTTATGTATTAGAGTGTATGACCTGGCAAAACCAGTCACAGGAGAGTGTGCAATTTGCCTGAAAACTGACCAAAAAGTAATGAGAAGAACAGCACATGGGGGAGGAAAACTTGCTTTATGGCCTTTCCAGAACATACATGTAGATATCACTGAAATGCTCTCTGTGCAGAGGTACAAACATTTACTCGTGATAATAGATCACCTCACTCACTGGGTGGAGGCTTTCTCAACCAAAAAGGAAATCATGCAAAAAGTTCCAAGAATAATCTTAGAAAATATCATACCTCAATAGGGGCTAGTCAATAACATTGACTTGGACTGGGGTCCACATTTTGTTGCTCAAACTTTGCATCAAGTAACAAAAAGCCCTGGGGATAAGGTGGAGATTGCACACCCCATGGCATCTTCAGAGCTCAGGAAGGGTAGAAAGGATGAATAAAACTCTTAAAAATTTAATAACCAAATTAATTGAAGAGACAAAAATGAATTGGCTCAAGCATTTACCTCTCGCTCTCTTGTGCATCAGAACAAGACCTCGGTCCGACATAGGCGTTTCTGCTTATAAAATGATATTTGGACTCCCTTTTCTAACCACCCCTTTCAATACTGCAAATTATTTAAAAGGGGAGGCAGCAACTTAAAAATATTTAAAAATCATAGGAAAATCCCTAGAAGGCTTCAGAAAGAAGGGGTATCTCCCTCAAACCTCCCCTCTGGATACCAATGCCCACAACATCAGTCCCGGAGATTGGGTGTTAATAAAATCCTGGAACACCACTAATCCACTAACCCCCAAATTTGAAGGACCTTTCCAGGTGTTACTCACCACACACACTGCGGTGCGAACCCAAGAAAAAGGCTGGACCCATATCCCCAGAGTAAAAGGACCAGTGCCACCCCCAGACGCCAGACCAGACCCAACAGGGTCACCCACCTCCTCTTGTGCATAGATGGTATTAAGGGACCAGAAAACTTAAAATTAACTTTAAAGAAGACTTGCTAGAAGCTGATATACGGTAAGGTGGTAACCGCTTCTGAGTTAAAGTACATGGTCAAAGTTTAAGTACTTTGTAACTATTTAATAAGTGTCCTTTAGAGGGTCACCCAAGCCACCTTCTCTTGTGTATGGACAGTAATTAAGAAACTAAAAGACTTAAAATTAACTTTAAAGATGACTTGCTAGAAACTGATATATGGAATTAGGAGAATTACCTGACTAAGTTAACCCTCAAAAGCCAGAGACTGTAAGTTGATGCGGGCTTAAGCCCGATCAAAGAAATAGAGGAGGGATTTGTTATGAACAAAACAGCCTGGCTGGGACACTTGGCTCGAACTAAGTACTGACACTGAAATGTTATTTAGCTAATTGATTCTGGGAATCACCTACTGCCCCACCCTCACTACCATTCTAGGACTGGGATGCAAAATAGAGAGACCAGTGGAATCATGGGAGAGGGTTTTGGGGATGAAAACACCCCTAAATGGAAGGCTGGGCACAGTGGAGGGGGCTGGATGGGTGAGCTGGTTGGGGAAAAGGGAACCCCATCCCTGGTCTGTGTTTGACCTGTCACCATAACCTGCAGGGGACCAGACTGGACGGGGCTGTGGGAAGCAGGAACAAAGGAACACACACTCTTCCTGGTGTTCCCAGGAGGGAAGGAGAGGGGACAGCTGCTGCTGGACTCAGCATCAGGCTGTGCACATTCCCCCCACCCTTTGGCTACCAGGAAGGCTACAACAGCAGGGGTGAGCTCTGTGTCGAGCCCCCTGCCGAGCTGACTTTTTAATAATGAGTTGAACATTAATAAAGGCATAGACGCCGTTCATTTCAGCTGTTATCTCTGTGCAAAGAATTTCTTGATTATCTCATCTCTTGAGTTAGTAAAAAAAAATCTTACATTGCATAGTTTCTATTTTACACTGTTATAAACTAAAACTGTATTTAACACACTACATAAGAGAATTAATATTGCATAACTTTCTAACATAACAAATATAATATTAATTTTAATATTTGCAAAAAGCCAATAATAAAATACGCATTTTTCACATAGATGATAACCAGGGTCACTCTTTTCCTGCCCCTTACCCTTCTCAGGCTGGTTACTCATTGTTTTGCATCTTCCCTTCCACCTTGACTTTTTTGTTGTTCAAAATGACAGCAGTGCTCAAGTAGTTATATCATTTTATTACATTTTTTTCTTCAAGGATTGTCTGTTTCCTCCTCTGTGGGATTCTGCCCCACCACACACATGCACAGCAGGTCTGTTGTCATGGGCACAGCACAGCCCCTGCAGTTTGCTAACCCAGCATCTCTGGTACCAGGCTTGCAAGAGACCTGAACTGAGCCTTACAAGTTGCTGAGCTGCCAAAACAGCCAAGAACTTCCCCCAAGGCTGGGGGAGCAGCTGCTTTTTTTTATATTGAGCCAAATTCTTGTGCAATGTGCTGCCCTCTGAGGATGAGCAGGTTAATCCCTTACAGATGTAGGAGCTATTCCCTCATCCCTGACAAGCCAATGTACCAGCCAGCTTTCTCCAAGCTGATCATCAGGCAAAATATCTGATTGCTGAAATCTGATCTGCTAGAGTTTCCTTTTCATCTGGCATGGATAAACCTCTGCAGCGGGACAGGGGAGAAGACAAGGTGAAAAAATCTTGTGGGTTCTCAGATAAGGGCAGGGAGGTCCTTCATCAATCAGTCATGGGCAAAACAGACTAGGCTTGGGTAAGATTAATTTATTGCTAATTAAACATAGAGCAGCATAGTAACAAAGTGGAACTAATTTTTTGCCCCCACTTCCCATTCAGAAATTATGAGAAGGTTTATTGCCTTTCTGTTTTTTCCTTAGTAACAACCAGGACGCATGAGCCTCTTCCCCAATACCTGAATAAACCAATAATCTCCACTGTTTGGCTCCTCTTCTACTTCTGTTGCTAAGCTAGAAATGTGA